GCTTCATCCTCTAGTTCCTGCGCCATTTCCTCGGCAGCCTCCTCCTCCTTCTTTCGCTCATCATCCTTTTTCTGCTCAGCCTCGATCTTTGGCTTGGCCTTCGTCTCCTTCTCAGCGGTCTTCTCCTTTTTATCATTCTTTCCATGTTTCAACTCGTCCAAGACATCTAGCATGCCAAGCGCATCAAATTCAGCCTGGTTCTCTGCGTCCTTGAGCGCAGAATCCAAGCTTCCCTTGATCTTCTCGAAGTGCGCCTCTGCTTTGGCTTTGTTGATCGCATACCGTTGAGCGCTAGCATTGGTGCTAACGCTTTCAGAAGGCGACTTCATCCTCACGCGCTTTGGAGGCGGTGTCTTTGGAGCCACGATCTGCTGAAGCCTGCTTTGCAGAGCCTTCAGCTTTTCTCCCTTCTCCTTTTCTTCTGCACTTGCCTTTGCCTTCTTCTTCTTGTTGCCTTCTCCTTCCCCATCCATCGCAGAACGCTTGGCAGTTGCACTATTGGCATCAGCCTCGTTCTTATCATCTTTTTTCTTTTTCTCTTTGCCAGCGGTCTCTTTCTGCCCTTCATGCGTCTTTGCCTTCTCGTCCTTCTCCTGCTTGTCCTGCTTCTCTTTTGCAGCTGCACCATCCTTCTTTTCCTTCGTCTCCTTTTCCTTGTCCCTTTTGTCCTTCTCCTTCGTCTCCTTTTTATCGTCCTTCTTCTTCTCCTCCTTCTTCGTCTCCTTCTGCTTGCCCTTCTCTTTCCCCTTGTCTCGCTTTGCAGCGGTAGCAGCGCGAGCTCTACTCAGAACCTCCGCTACAATCGCTTTTCCACGTTTGCTAGCGTCTTTGGCAGCGCCGCTGGTGCCAGGCTTTCTCAAAGCAGACTTCCGCACTGCCTTGGCATCCTTCACGGTTTCTTTCTTGGCTTTCCCCATCCAAAAAGGGAATCACCCTGGAACACAGCTGGAGCAAAAGTGGCTACATTAGGGGGCATATACATATCGCACGAAGTCGCTCCAAATCGCACGAAAGTCTCTCCAAATCGCATGAGTGAACTTGACAGGATTTTCATTTTTTTTTCAACCCCCTCGCGTTGGTATCGCAAACCTGCCAAAAATGCCAACCCCAGTCCAGCGATGCCCCCCTGCACCCTGCACCCCCAGTTCTGGCGGCCTTCAGGCTTTCGGGATCGCGACAAACACCTCTTTAATACCAATCTCCCCATTTGCCACCTGCAAGAGCTTTCAAGCCGACTCCCAGCTTGGCTTGTTGGGTTTGGGGCGGTGGGCAGCAATCAGAACACTGGCATCAATGTTCAAGAAAGGTGGCCGTTCCACATCACAACAAGAATGGTTTATTCAGAACTGGAAGGAAAGTGACCTGTTGCACATCACAACAAGAATTGTTTTCCCTTCAGGACTGGCTCGCGTAAGTCCCACCCCATACATTGATCTGTGGATATTCCACAGCCACTGAATTACTAAAGCTCAACAAAAGCAAAGCTAACCCTAGGGTCTATTGCTTTGCCAGAAAATCAATTATTGGTTGGAGACCTGAATGAGTCATCCAAAGCTTGTTTAGCTTCGCGCTGGGGTTAACAGCACCAGCTTTGTCTTTCACTGCATCGCGCAGGAATCGAGCTGCCCTGCGCTTGGTGTCCTTCATGAACCTGGTTCGCACCCTGGCAACAGCCTTGCCAAACCTGGGCGAAGGGCAAGGAATGGAGGGAGGTTGCAAAATTCCGCTTTCAAAAAAAAGCACACCCCCAAGTGCCAATTGTCCAGTTCGTTTGGGGCTCCGTTTTGGGGGCGAAGGGATCCCCACATAGGACCGTACATAGATCCCCTCGCCCCCAAAACGGAGCCCCAGGCAGCCAACATGGAACCAAGTTGTTTTGGTTTCCAAATTCTAGCCGTTTCAAGCTGAGAAGGAGATGTTCTGAGGATACTTTGGAACCGAACAAATAGGAGTGGTGACTTGATTGTCGGGTAAGAAATTGTTCAAATTAATCCAAAGAACATCAAAGGATACGCCTGGCTTTGCTTGAGGTCACTCCCACCCTTTATGCGCTGAAGACCGTTGCTATCTGTATAGTGCACAACCATCTCGCTTGCCTTTACCAGCTTCCGATGTTTATTGGCATACTCGTTGAAGCTTTCAGCATCAGGATTGCCTCAGCTAAGGGCAGTAAGATAAAAGCGAATCTACGAATGGAAAAACAACTACAGAAAAGAGGGGCTGGTGAAAAAGGCAAAATTCTCTTAAAACTCACCGTGGGTTGCTGGAATAGATCCATACAGGCTTCAGGGTGTCAGCTCCAAAATAGCCCAGGCAACAGGTCACACGGGTCACAGCGACTTGCTTCAACTTCAAGAAAGATTGGAAAAGCACATGGCCTTCAAGAAGGCTATTTTTTGGTTGTTCCATATTCCACCAGCAGCATTTGGCAGCGGCCAAAGCTAGCAGAATTGCAACCCTCCCAACCATGATGTTGTGCTCCCCTGTCTTCCCTGCGTTGCTTCCCATAGGGTTCAACTTGGTCCTCTTTGTACTTCCCCTGGACCTCAGTAGAAGTCCACCAAAACAACATAGGTATCATAGGAATAGGCGGTGAGAAGGCTTCGGCGGCGATCTATTTATACGATTCCAAAACATATAAAGGTATTGGTCTTTTGCTGAGGGACATGAAAACCCAAGTGCTGCAAACAGGGGCAGCCCAAATCCCGCCGCCTGGCTTTACATTCAATACTTGAAACAAGGAATTGCAGAACCCGACGCTTGTCATGATCGACTGCTCGATAGGATGGAAGTTGATGTCCATTGCCAGCGCTTCGCGATTTTCCTGCAGGACTCCAGGATGGCATGGTTGCAGGGTCAGGGGACACCAATACCAACTTGTTACAACCTTTTCTTCTCAAACTTATCCTATCAACGACCATGATTTCAACCCTCGGTCATGCCACTCGCCCTTGGTGATGCTGCACACGCCACTGAAAAGCTCCAAGTGGTCAGTTGGCTCGTTCCAGCGTAGATGTGGGCAGCTGAAAACTAAAGCGCACAATGTCAACAGAACCTGGAGGGGAAGTCTTGAAGTGGGTTCATTCTCTATGATTGCCTTCCCCAAAGGATTGCCTGTTTGTTTGTCTTGGTTTGTGGGTCAAACAACAGAAACACACACGACATCTTGGGGAAGCCCGCACCGCCGGAGCTCGCATAGCCCGCAGCCCTGCAAACACGCAGGCACGTTGCTTGTCCTTCCACGTAGTGGCCTTGGACTCTCGATCCTGTTTGAAGGGCATCCTGCCCCTGGATTGGCAAGACATTCTGCTTCTGGGGATGCGGGCAACTTTAGCAGGCTTGCCCATGCTTCCAAACCACTAGAAGGCTCAGACAAAAGCGAAGCGATCCGTGTCAAATCTTTGAACCATAACAAGGCAAAGGCCGGGTGCTGATTAACGTGAACCTTGTGGCCACCTAACTAGTTCACCCTTAAGGGATTCTCACCAGCTACATCGCAACCTGTGAACAGAGACCTGCGAGGATCAAGTCCTGACTGCAGCACTGAGCTATCCTGCCCGAGCGCCTCTTCTTGCAAATGGTTCCCGGCGCCTGACCAAGAGAGGTATGGGCAGTTTTTGGGTGTTCTGTATTTGGCATCGACTGATGGCCGTGATCGCCTTGGTCAGAAATACATCCCCGACCCAACCCACTTGGGTTGAGATTTTCTTTTATATCGTGAAATATAATGCATCGATATGTTCAACTTGAACTTCGGCAAATACCTATTCAGTTGGGCGGGATTACTTAATAAACGATCGTCCATTTAATATTATCAACTCATTTCATAATATAGCAGAGAGGTCAAAAGGACACAAACATAATACCACCGCTCAAGATCCTTCATGGTGACCCCTCTTACTTGACCTGCCAAACTTGCCCGAAACTCACCAGGCCTCCTGGATGAAGAAGTAGGTGGGCCAAGATGGATAAAGGAATCCTGCGCAAGCAGGCCAAAAGAGGGTTGCCCAAACTTTCCTTGAGAGGTTCCCATGTTTGTTTCGTGCGCTAGTAGGGCAACCATGCCATCATCGAACCCAAGTTTGCACGTTTCTCGTTAAAGGGTTGAAACTTCATTTTCTCTGAAACTAGTGGTGAATTGGCTTACCCGTACCCGAGCTAACTGATCACACGCAGCTTTCTGGGTCCTGTTGGTCTGCAGTTGAAGCGATAGGCCTGGGCAAGGAAACGAGGTTGAAATCCGCCTAAGCATTGGAATCAAAACATGAATGGCCTTTGCACAGTTGAACTAAAACTAGACTTCGGGTCTTCCCGTTATAGTCCTCAAAGAAAACCATCCACGACTCCACGATGCCTCTACCTCCACGATGAAGCTGACAGCAGCGGTGAAGAGGATCCTGCCGGGACATGCGAAACCATCTAAGGATTGGGGCGCCTCTTTGCGAACCTGCATAACCGCTGGATTGAGCATGGCGCTGGGTCTGGCAGGACTGTTTTGATCGAAAGGGTAAGCTGCCACGGGCCACGGGTCTTAAGGTCCTTGGCGCATCCCTTGCCCCAAGTTACAGCTGGAAGTAGGACTGGTGATTACATGCCCCATAATCTTCCAACTGCAAAACCCCAAATATTCACTTCTAGGTGTCAAGAAGTGTTCACCGATGTTCCCTGCAAACACATTTCATTTCATGATGCAGGCCACTTGGCAGCCTCGCAAACGCAGGCCCAAGCATTCTCTGGCCCACCATGTTTGGACCATGTGTACTGGCGGCCCTTCAGAGAAGCTCCCGTGGACTCAGCTTCGTTTCCATCGGCAGCCCCCACACGTTTGAGGACGTAAGCCTTGTTGCGAAGGAGCACTTCCACTGCCTTAAATGCTGCGCAGCTGGCTTGCGAGACTAACCTTCAATGGAGTTCCGGGTTGTTGCAAAAGAACTGATTCAGGGTGTTGTTCATGCGCAATTGACTTGGCCAAAGTAGCCCCAAACGAAAACTTTTGAGCTTCATTGGCCAGATCACAGAGCCATTGGAAGCCTTGACGGTGTAACCATGGGCTCCTTTGTTGGGGCCCTCCTGGGGCCACGCTGCTTCAGGGATTTCAGCAAGACTATACCCTTTAAACGTGTCAGCATGTAGCTGCTTGGGCTTCTTGGGCTTCTTGGGCGCGCCACCATCCTGCTCGTCACCAAGCGCGAGCGCCCGCTTCAGGCCCTTCGCCTAGGCTAGAACTGGAAAAATCAATAAGTGGAATTTATTGGAATCATGACCTCAACCATACACTCAACCCAATCCCGTGTACTCCCTTTCTTCCTCATTTATGTTTGGTGAAATACGGGCAAGTCGCCGTTTGAACACCAATAGGTGATGGGGTTGTATCAGCTGCCATCGCCTTTGAAACAACATCCACTTTGAAACAACATCCATAGCTGGAGGCGGTGTTGTCAGGGCAGGCATTTTGCTATCAGCCTGACCCAAATAGGTTCCACCCTCCTTGACGAAGGCGTTTTTCCGCATAATCTTCTGCAAGGGTGAGGCATCATCTTCCACCTGCCAGCAACACCAGTTTCAGGCCAGCAACACAGTTTTGGTAGTAAACTTGCTCGTCGACCTTTCACAGCGACTTGCCTGTTTGAATAGGTGATCTCACTTGTTTGTGTACATTTACGCGCAAACATATATTCAGCCAGCCTCGACCCTCCGCTTTCGACAATTCTCTTCGAACTCCTGTACGTGCGGACACTCCCCAGCCAGATAGCGGCTTTGCTCTGGAGTCAACACCTGCAGTTGAAGGACACCCCAAACCCTACAAGTGCGGTTGCTTGTGGCACTGTTGTTTTGAGAATAAACATCTATACAAGCGCCTTGTTGCCAAGTTCCTCGTATCGGGCCAACCATGAATCCCAATACTCGCGCGTGGAAAGCCAAGAGCTAGCTCGGACCCCAAAGCGAGCAAAACTCCATTCACAATGGTCCAAGTAGGGCACCAGGTTGAAATTCCTGAAGGCGAGCAAGCCCTGTCATGGTACTACAATAACGTCGCACGGTGTGGCTATACAGCCCTCAAACCGAAAATGTTGCTCTATAGCATCATAGGCACTTCATGATATCGGGGTGTTCCTTACTGAAGAACTCCATAAGGGCAATGCACATCTCAACGATCTCTGCCCGATTTGGGCCACTGTTACCGGTCATGGGTGTGTTGAACAGCTCTTCGCACCAAGGGTTGGTCTTTTCGGGGGTCTTCTCAACTGGAGATTGGGCGCTAGGGCTCTGGCCACTAGCCTCCTCGGCGCTGCTCTCGTGAGGCGTTTCATTGAAGTCGTCCTTTTCCCCACAAGCCATGAATGATGGGCCCTCATATTCAGAGCTAGTATCATTTCCTGGTAGCTCCAATGTGGTGGAACCAGAACAACTCTCATCGTCACCCTCTGCTTTGGATGGTGGACCTTCCAAGGGCGGCGGACACTCCTCATCCCCTGACTCCGAATCCGATCGTGAGGGCCCAACATCGTTCTCCGCTGGCCCATCGAGATCCAAGGATTGGCCATCATGATCTGGAGGTTGCTCGGCAGAAGCGCGACAGGCCTGGAAACTGACTTGGCAGAGGGGTTCAATGATATAGGAGGTGTGAAAACGATACAGGAAGATCTGGCGATGAACTGGTATAGTCAACAGAAAGTTGCAACAAAGGCATTACAAAGCGTGTGAACAAACATGACCTATCTTAGATGACCTTTGCCGGATTTTGCACAGACAAGGTGGACTTTTGCTTTGAACACATCACAACCTGGTTCGTATACATGTTTCGAAACCTTGCCTTCGTCCTCGTGGGCGACGGAACAAGCATTGCTTTAAGCTCAGCAATGCGAGGGTGACTTGCGGCTGTCTTACCTGAAGTGTTGGCCCCCAAACATGTCCAAACATGTCCGAAAGACCTTGAGGTGAGATTGGTGAGATCGATGGAAACAATGCGTCGACTGCAGAAAAGTCAAAAGTCAAAAGGTCGTTCAAAGGCAAACAAACCAATACAGTATATTCCTATTAGTCAATTAAAAACAATGGTTCCAAACTATAGCCTGAGCGCTGCTCCGCCACAGCGCTCGCAAGCAACCAATCAAGATCTTAGTTCGCTTGCCTTCCTCAGCGGCCATGGACTCCTTCGTCTCTTGTTTAGAGGTGGGCCTCAAAGCTTTCCCCTGGTAGAGGGTGTCCAGGAAAAGGAAAACATCGGCCACAAAAAAACCAGAAGGAACTCGATCTCGGAAGTGCTGTACGAAAGGTCTCACCCAATGATAGTTCAAAACCAGGTCTTCGGCTCTGGCCGAGCTCAAAGTGTCCACCTGCACCAAAGCCCCACCAGCAAACCCATCGCTGGTCAAGAGCTGTGTCACCTCGAGGGGCAGGCCCTGCTTCACTTGGATGGCCAGCGTCTGAACATCCGCGCGAGTCCAGGCAACCTTTCCAGGCCCTCAGGTGAGACAGGCTGATGGGAAAAAGGTTATATTGAAGAATTTAGTAAATAAACATAAATTAAGACATGCAACCACAAAGACAGGAACCCGATTGCAGGGGAAAGGGATCGAAACGCGGACGGTTTTTTCGAAGGAGCGACTGGTGCTCTTCCATGGGGCGAGCGCGAGCTGCATTGCCATGACCCTACTAACAGTTCTATTCAAAATGCCCAGTTCTGGAACCACGGATCTGATGATGGGCGAGTTGCGCGCGACGTGAACCACACAAGCAACATGCGCGCCATCATCTCAAAACTGCATGCGCAAACTCTTCAACTTCATGTTGTTTGCAGATCTATAAAAACACAAACCGAAAGCACGTCCGTTTACGAAGTCCAATTGCTAGCGCCGGTCCGGTCCTGCTCAGGTTAATGCAGACCATGGTCGACGGCATCCATTGGCTCGGCAAAAAACTGAGCACTGAGCTGGCCCTGCTTCGCTAGTGCACTTTGGGGTTGTAAGGGGGGGGTCTTGCAGTATACCCCGCTAACCCTCACCTCAGATGGCAAGTGACACCTTGCTGTAGGGCGGTTAACTAGCAAGCTCGAGCACAGTGACTTCTCGAACGCGGGCGCGCGTCGGTTGGCACAACCTTTTACTTGCACAATTCCACATAGGAACGTAAGATCGAAAAAGACAAGAACGATCAAAAACGTGTGGCACATATGTGTGTGTGTGTCAAGGGTCGAAAACGTTTTTCCAAACAAAACGTGTGCTCATGATTGTTTTTTCGTTTGTTTCATGAAGAGGAAACTTCCGAGCTACGAGTTTTCTTTTCATCATGGTGAGGAAACTTCCGAGCTACGAGTTTTCTTTTCATCATGGTGGCCTGGCATAGCACACCTGGGTGGGCAATGGGCTATAAAGCGCGGTGTCTCATGTTTTTGCACACAGGTGATCAGCCATAGAGAACGCAGGCACTCATGTGATATAGATACAGTGGCCTCGCATTCACACCTTGCTGGGAAGCGTGGTGTCTCATGCGTTTTTGCCACACATGCTATCAGCCACAAAGCATGCAGGCACTTGTTGGGACATAGATACAAACGGCACCGCTTTGCAACACAGGACAACAGACGTTGTTAAAAGCCAAAACGATGCCCAAAGGACATGCATGGATCCTCTAAG